GAAAGCAAGTTAACTCAGCAACTCAAACCCCAACTAGCTAAACTGCAAAAAGACCTCACTATTACTCAACAAGACCTCAAATCCGCCCAAAGAGTAATTGGATTAAGAACCATTGAGCCCGATGCTAAGCATGAAGAAAACCCTGTTGACTATTGACCCTGAATTAGAATGGGTAGTTTAGCCTTCCTCATTTATTTACTCAGCCAAGATCAAGAACACTAATCAAGAATTAGAAAACACCCTAGACCAACTAATTAAAAACATTCAACAATTAAATCGCCAAATTAAATAATCATGTTAAAAAACAAACTCGAATTACTTAACAAAGAATTCACCATTTTAAAAGAAAAGATTACTCAGAAATTACAGCAAAAAGATAACACCATTACCGAAACCAACACTAAACTTCAAGAGTCTAATCGTAAAGTGGAAGAACTAACTAAGGAAAACCAAGAAAATGAACAAGTTTTAGAAACTTTATTTAAAGAATTTAAAGAATTAGCCCAGACCTTAGAATAATATGCTCCGTGAACAAGTTTTAAGAGAATGAAAGAGTTGTCAAACTAAGGTCATCAATTTTCAAAAAGCCATTGAGTTTCTCGCCAATCAAACTTCCTTAGAAAGTCCCTTACCAGCTTTTCCCCTTGGTCATAACAATATTAGAAGAAGTTTAGACCATTTAACTAGTCCAGAATACTTCCTCAAACTGGACCAACATAAAGACAGGATTATGAGCAATCAGTCCTTAACTAATCAGGAATCTCTTTCTTTTTTACAACTAAGTTATGCCGATGTCATTACCATGTTTAAAGAATTAACTGAGGGTTGAAAGAGAGAAAGAGACAGTAATAACTCTCCCTATAATGGTCCCACCATTGAAGAAATAGACTAATATGCCAAAAAAAAAAAAAAAAACAAGAAGAGGTCATGGAAGGGTGAACTAATTTAAAAAAGAAAATCTTTCACCTTAAAGACTCTACTTCTTGAACTACTGATAATGGTCAAGTAGTAGTTTATCGTAGTCCTGCCCCTCCTCAACGAATTATTTATGCCCGAGATAATGAATTAGTTGGTAAAGAACTCTCCTCTCTAGCAAAGAAATTAGAACAAGTAAAGAATTTAATTGCTAATGGTGAGATAGAGAAGTTGAAAAGGATGTGTAAGAGGGGAGAGATTTAAGAAATAAGAAAATAACAAGAATTAATTCATTTAGAACATTATAAACACATGGGAAAATACAGCAAAAAAAGAGAAGGAACTAGCAATAGGCAATTTACTAGTGCCGAAAAAATGAAAGATAATTTCTTTGCCAATTCTGAAAGAAGAAGAAAATCTGGTGATAAAGCCCAAGGTGATGCAGGATACTGAACTGGTGGTCGTTGTAATTGGGGCGGCTCACACAATTTACAAGAAGACTGTGAAGAATTAGCCAAATTTTTCAATGCTACTGCCAGTATATCTGATGATGTAGAACAAATCAAATTAGCGGCTAATGAGCAAGTATTTAACCAAAGAAAACAAGCATTAATTAGTAAAATTCAGGACTGTATTAATAAATGCCAAGTCTCTGATTCTTATTCAGTAGCCAGTGTGTGCTGCATTTGAAATGACTATTTTGGAAGTTTTCTAAAGCCATTCCTTGACACTTTTTCAAAAAAATTACAGAGGCAAGCAAAAGAAGTGCAAAATCTAGAACCTAAACACCAAAAAGAATTATTGAAATTAGAAACCGAAGCAAAGCAAGCGGAGAATGAATATAAAGAAAACAAAGACAAGGCTGACCAAGAAACGGACCCAGATAAAAAGGCTCAGTTTATGTATTTAGCCAACAAAGCAGCAAGGAAAGCCGAAGACATTAAGAGAAGAGTAAAGGCAAATCCCTTAGCAGATTTAAGTAGGTTCAGTAATTTAGATGATTTAGAAATACTGTTAGGAGGAAATGTTCCCAAGAACCCTCCCAAACCTAAAGTAAGTCTAACTGGAAGTGGCAGCGGAAGCACTTCTATTCCAAACCCTTTAGAAGACCCCAAAAGTTTTTTTGAACAATACCGAACTGAAATATTTGTCGCAATAGCACTGGTAGGGATACTCCTTTTTGTTTATACTCAAAAAGATACCGAAAATGAAGAAGATAAGAAATTTATGCAACAAATGATACTGATGAAAAAGATGAAGAGGGGGAATAATGAAGAATAATAATTATGAAAAAGAAGCAGCAACAGCAAGTAATAATAATTCTTCTGCTTTGTGCTTTAGGATATTACTTTATGATTTATTTGCCCCAGGAAGAAGAAAAAAAGAAGAAAGAAAAACAGAAAAATAGCAAGTCTGCTGAAGAATTACAAGCCGAACAAGAAGAAGATGCCTGAGATAAGGGAAGGATATGGGAATTACCGGCTCATAGTTGAGCAGATAGAATAGTTAAGTCCAAAAGTGCTTCATTAACCGGACAATACCAAAAAATGGCTGGTTTGTTTACTGAGGGAGACCGAAACCCAAAATTCTACTTCTCCCGTGCTGCCCCTTACCGAATATACTTTCCTCCTAACCTAAGAGAATATTATGAAAAAGGAAAAGAATCAGGAGATGAAAAATTTAGAGACAAGTTGTTTATGCTGGAAGAAGAGGAAGAGTTAATTTTATCAGATGAAATTAATTCATGAATAGATGAAACAGTAAAAGACCCCACTAAGGGAAAAATAGATAAAGACAGCAGAGGGAACAACGCTCTCTTTTACGGAACAGAGGGAACAGGTAAAACGGCCACCATGAAAAACATTTGCGTTCGTGCCAATTGCCATCCTTTGGTAGAAATCAAAGGTTCTAACTTAACTCCCACTGAATCCGACCAAGCCTCAGAGATACTGCCTTTGCAGAAATTTGCTTATACTCTCAGTGAATTAGAATGAAATCTTGAAAAAGAATGCGGATTTGAGCGAGAAGAAAATGGAGAGGTAAGATACATGTTATTCGTAGATGAAGCCAACCAAATTAGCAATAATTCTGGTTTTTTTCAACCCAACCAATTACGCTTCTTAAAAGACTGTATGGAAGGAATAGATCAAAAAGAAGTAAGTAACAACTTATGAGTGTTTGCCACTAATCATTTAGACCAAGTAGAAAAAGCCACTTACCGCAAAGGAAGATTAAGCAATCCCTTAGATTTTAGTTGAACTTGGAACGAATTTGTAAAACATGCTCAAAAAGCAGGTATTTATGAACAGTTTCCGGAAAGATGAAAAGAAGTGAAAGGATTATGAAATCCCGAAGATGACAAGTGAATACGCGATTTTAATATTGATATATTCAAAAAAGATTTTTTGGGGGATGACCCTAGTCAAGCTACTAAACCAAGATTTTGAGACTTATTTATTGAAAATAATCCTGATGCTCAAACAGAAACAGAAGATGACGAGGTAGACGAAGATGGAAATAAGACTGGTAATAAAGTAAAGATAGATATTGAAATCGGAGAATTTTTAGAATTCTTTTGAGCCGTCAAGAAAAGGAATTTAATGTCTTATGATGGCAGCTATGAAAGTATTCAAAAGGAAACTGTTGAAAAGGTATTAGACACTCGTCTAAGCGACATAATTGAGGTAATTAATGACAAGTTGAACGAACTGATAGACGAAGTAAACAAATCGAGAACGGAGGGAAAGGAGCAAATAATGGATGGTATCGATAGAATAATTAATAATTTAGCCAACAGATAAAAATATATGACAGAAAATCAAATTACACAATTAGAAAACAAAATAAATCAAATCAAAGAAATTATAGACCATTGAAAACAAGAACTTATGACATACGAAAACAAATTACAAGAAATAATAAAACAAGTTGCTGAATTAAAAGGCAACTCGAAGAATATTAAATAACCATGGGATTCTGAAAAGCATTATGCACTTGTGTCGGCTGCGTTGCTGGCGGTGCTTGTATAATATTGTCAGGTGGAACAGCTACCCCCTTGGTGGCTGGAGCCTTAGTAGGAGCCGGTGGACTTGGTGGCTACTTAGTAGGCAATGTCGCGGATAAAGAAGATACCGAAAGAGAAAAAATGCTTTTGCAAGACCAAAGATATAGAGATGCTATGGGTGAGGTAAACCAGCAAATAGATGCTAATAACCAAATCAAAAAGCAAATAACAGACATTGAAGGTAAACTTAATGGAACCATACCAAGACAGCCGAATGAAACTGATGAACATCTAAAAACTCAGTTGGCCATACTAACCGGAAATCTCAGAAATGGTGAAGGTAGATTGAATGGATTGAAAAATGAGTTGGATAAATTAAGAAAAGAATTAGGCGGAGGCAGTTCTTTAATGAGTTTGTTGGGATTAGATAAATTATCCTTTACTGATAAAGTGATGATTATTGCGGCAATAGTTTTGGTGATTTGATTGTTAAAAGGCTAATTTTCCTCTTTGAAAAACTAAAGTAAAGCCGCAAAGGGAAAGAATTTTTTTACAAAAGGCTAAACAGCAATTGGTTTTTGTAAAATTATAAATATAATAAAATCATGGACAAAAATCAGGCTAAGTTCCTGGCTCTGCAATGTCTTTCTAATTTAGAACAAGCAAAAACAGAACTAGCAAAGATAAAAACAATTGCTAATCCGCAAGAAAAACAGGAAAAAGCCAAGTCTACTTACGACAAACATTATCATTATTCTCAATCTGTTATTGGTTATTACAATAGTTATAATTTAAGCGGAGAAATTGATAGCAATATCATTGCTGAATATGACTGAACAGTAAGGCAATTGAGAAATTTGTCCCATGAAGTTCAAGATAATCAAAAACAAAATCAAACTAACCGCCTTTCCCGTTGTGCTCAGTGCAATAAAAAAAGCGTCCTTTATCACTTCATTTGAGACAAAAGAACTAAGAATTTAGAAAAGAGTTATAACAATGCTGCTGACTTAAATAATCAATGAGTTTTTTGTAATCAAAATTGCTTTAATGAATGATATAAAAAATGATGGTCTTCTTTTAAAGATGAACTAAAAGACCTTACTTGTAAAAATTGTAAGAATAAATTTCAAGTTGAGCGTGAATATAAGCGAGGAAAAGAAATTACTAAAAATTATGATTTCTGTTCCCAAGAATGCCTAAACTCTTGAAATCAAAACAACTCAAAAGAACAAAACTCAGAAATAACCTGCCATCAATGCAATAAATTCTTCTCAGGACAATACTGATATAAAAACAATCCTCGCAAAAGCACAATTCATAAATTCTGTTCAGAAAACTGCTGTAATACTTATTGAAATAAAAAGCAATGTTCTAGTTGTTCAACTTTACTAACTACTGATGAAATTTGTTATTGTGCTAATTGTTCTGCTCAACAAGAACAAATTAGAAATAATTTAGACAAAAACTCCCAGGATATAAATAATGTGGTGAGTGATTTTAATAAGGGACTTAATGATTATGTGGAAAGTCAGAAGAATGACTCTGGCAATAGCAATAATAACTCCATAAATAAAGAAAAAAACCAACTTCAATCTGAAATCACTATTTTAGAAAATAAACCTAATAAAACTAAAGAAGAACAGGTTCTTTTGAATAGCAAAAAGAAAGAACTAGAAGAGTTATTAAAAAAACAGAATATTCCAACTGGTAATCAAGATAAGGCTGATAAAACTAGTCTTTATATTGGTTTAGGAATAGTTGGATCGCTTGCTTTGCTTTTAATCTTTATTCTGGCGAGGAATCGTCAGAAAAGGAAGTTGAAGAGATAATTGGCAGTTGGATAAAACTAATAACTTTTTAGCAATAATACACTAAATAACTAATAATAATATGGTAAATTGAAAAGACATAAACACAAATTTCACTAAAGAACTACAAAAAGAATGAGAAGATAGAGGTTTTAGTTATGCTGAATGCAAGGACTGAATAAATATTGGCTTAACTGTTAATGATGCGGATTACGCTTACTGACTAAAAGAAATTAAACAAAAAGATAGTGAGTGAGTTCATAATTATGGTGATGATGAAGAGTTAAGAGAGAAATATCAACACTGAGCAGAAACCAAAAAAGCAAAAATAGAAGAATACAAAACCCAAATCCTAACTATTTTGGATGGTTGAAAAGATAATAGTCAAGGACCAGAAAAGGAAGCATTAAGGAAGATTATTAAAACCCTGTCTAATGAAGATTTACCTTCTGAGGAACAGTTTGGTGAATTACAAAATTTTTTAAGGAAATTTCCCACTGACAATGTTAAATTAAATACCCTTATTCAAGCCTGAAATAAGGAAATATGCAAAAAGAAAAAAACAATTACGAAATTTTTAACTAATCAGAAGCAAGAAATAAACAGACAAAATATCAGAAATATTCTTCTTATTGGTAAAGTTGGTAGTGGAAAATCTACTTTAGCCAATGCACTAAGTGGAACAGATAAATTTCAAGAAAGGCAATGTGCTCGCAGTGTAAATAATGAAGTGCAAATTGAAGAATTTGAAGATAATGGTATTATTTATAAGATAGTTGATACGGTAGGTCTTGGCGATCTTCATCTTTCAAAAGAACAAGTGTTAAGTAGCCTAGAAGGTGCAGTTCATGTTATTGGCGAAGGGCTAAATCAAATTTTATTTGTGAGCAATGCTAGAAGTCGTGTCACTAAGGAAGAAATAAATGTCTATAAATCACTACAAGAGTTTATTTTTGATAAAAACTCTGTCAAACACACTACCATCGTCCGGACTAATTTTGTTAACTTTATGACTGAAAAAGAATGCAAAAGAGATGAAAGAGATTTAAGAGAAATTCCTGAACTTACTGAGTTTATTGGTTCTTGTAATAAAGTAGTCCATGTGAATAATCCATCAATAAATATTCCTGGCAATGACGTAATAGTTAAAAAGCAAATTAGTCTTAATGAAGAAATTCGTGAAATATCTAAAAAAAAGCTTCTAAAACATTTGCAAACTTGTCAAGAAATTTATCAACCCGAATTGCTTAGAAATTTTTACGAGATGATTAATGAATTCAATTCAATTAATGGAGAAGTTTATAAAATCACTGATGAAATTTATTCCTTGTTTGGCAATAGAATAAAGCAAATAGAAGAATTTTCTCCTAAAAGAGAATGAATAATCAAGAACATTGAAGAGAACAAATTGATTGTAAAAGAATGTATGAAAAAGCGTTTTTTTAGCAAATCCTTGGGGCATGCTGTTATGCTTGGTGGCAAGGCGTTAGCACTCTCGGCAATCTGGTTTCCGCCTACTGCACCTATCGCGGTACCAGCAGGACTTGCTATATCGGCTACTGGCTGATTAGGAACAGCAGGTTCTGATGCCTCTTCAATAACTAACGAAAAAGAAAAATATGAATTTTTTAAGAAGACTCTTGAGGAAGATGCAAAAGATTGTGAGATAATAAGAAAAGAGGATTTAAAAAAGATTCTAGAAAATTATGTCACAAAACTCGAGAAATTTGACTTTTGCCTTAGCAGTTCAGAATACAAAAAGGGAAACGTAAAGAAGAGGGAATTTAAAAAACTTCAACAAATAATAAAAAGAGTGAAAGAAACATTAGAAAAAATGAAGGATGATAAGGAAATTAATTATTCCGCTGATAAAAAATTTGATCCAAAATATTCCGCTAAATCAAAGTCATGAATAGCCGGACTTGAAGCGGCTGGTAAATTGGTTCCATCTCCTTTGTCTTTTATTTGTATTGGTTTTGATGCATGAGCAATTTGAAAACGTGACTCTTTAGTGGACATTGAAAAAGCAATAGAACTATGAAAGGAAGAATTAGAATGCTGAAACAAACAGATAATACCATTAAAAGAAAAGCATAAAGAAATAGGGATTTGAAAAGAAAAAATAATAGAACTACTTTCAAGTGATGGTCTAGAAATAAATGCTTCTGACTTACAAGTTGAGCCACAAGCCGAAGTTCAACAAGTTGATTTTGATTGAGAAAAATGACAAAGTATTTCTCCTAATTTTACTCCTGAATTAGTTCAAAGATGAACTAGTTGTGGTTTTACCTACGAAGAATGCACTAATTGAGTAAACATTAATTCTTCCGAAAATCAAAATCGAGCCATTAAGGAACCGGACTATTATGCATGATTACGAGATGTGAAAAAAGTTGACTCAGAGTGGGTTTTAAATCACGGAAATGAACAAGAATTAGGTCAAGAATTTCTTCGGTCATGATGCTGAGAAAACTTTCAAATTTTTTACCAAGAAAATGCATCTTCTAATGAAGAAAAAGAAAGTGATGGGGAATCTGCATCAGCATTTGACAGTAGTAATTTCATTGCACTAGACACAGACATAAATTTTACGGAAGAGTTACAAAAGGAGTGAGAAAATAAAGGTTTTGGTTATGAAGAGGCTAAAGATTGGATAAGAGTGGGACTGAAGGTAAATGATATTGACTATTGCTTTTGACTGAAAAACGAGAAAGAACTTGAGCCATGAGAAATTTTGAATTATGAATATGAGGAAGAATTGAGAAGAGAATACAAGAGGATTTCTAAAGCATCTGTAATCACAGAAAAAGAGGAGAATAATGAAATAGTAGTAGCCAGCGAGCATGTTAAGGAAGACAAAGACAACAATAAAAAACTAAATGAATCAATTCAAAATCTAAAAAATGAACTCACTCAACTTGTTGCTATCTCTAAAAACAAATTAAACGAAAGGGAACAAGTTTGGTTAGAAATTTTGTTAGAGATGCAAGAAGTACTCACTAATAATAACCAAGACGACACTGCTCAAAAGCAACTAAGCAAAGCCAAAGAAAAATTAAACAAGAAATTAAGAAAAGGAGAAATAGAAAATATTTGCCAACTACAAGAAGAAATCACCCAACTGGAAAAACAACAGAAACAAAATTACGATCGAGTAACTCAAATTCAAATCCCGCCCAAGTAAAAAGGGGAGTTAATTCCTCCCCAGTTTAATAAAATTGTTTTATTCATTTACTTCTTTTTTAAAATTAATAATATAAGTAAGTAACTTTATTTATCCTTATGAATACTAAGAATATCTTGTTCCTCTTTAAGCAATGAAGGACTTCCAGACAATTGTGGCAAAGCACCTATTTCTTCCAAAGATTCAATTACTTCCTTTTTATCATTAGTAGCATCCCTAATAAGTTTTAAATATTCTCGAACACGATCAATGACTCTGTCAATATCTTTATACCTTATTCAAGAAAGGCAAAATTCATTTGGTCCTATTATATTTCCACTACTATCTTTGAATCTAGTTGTTAACTTATTTCCTCCATACTTTGACAATTCTTCTTGCTCCAAGTCATTAACTTTTTTTAACTCTCACTCTAAAGTTTCAATAATTTTTCAAACTAGGTCATCTTTTATTTTCTCATCGGGATTATAAATTGTCTTTTTTCCCTCTGGCTCTATATACTGATAATGCTCTCTTAAAAGACCAAGGTCATACTTTAATCTTTGGTGGGGATTTCCTAAAACTTCGTAAGTTTCGATTATTTTTTTATATTCTTCTTCATTCCCGCCTTTATCAGGATGTGCTGTCAAAGAGAGTTCGTTAAATCTATTTTTAATTTCTTCGTCAGAAGACTCAGGAGAGACCCCTAATATTGCGTAATAATTCTTAACTACCATATTTCTTAATTTTTTTAAATTCAAAATGAACTCGGTATTTTCTCTCCCTTTCTCGCGTCTGAATTTTTTTTAATTTACCTCACATTATTTTTGGCAAGAACTTAACTTTGTTATTTCAGTCTGTTTTTTTTTTTTTTTTGTTATTGTTTTTAGTGTATCTGTCATAATTATATTTGTCTTGTTATTTATATAAAAATTTTTTAACTTGTTTCTATCGTCTTCCTCTGGTCAATTGCTTGCTAGATGATTTCACTCAATTTCTATAATTCTCTTTCCGTTTTACTAAATTGAATAACTATTTTGGCATTATTATCATAATCCTTAATTTATTTTATAAATATTTTTTTCAAAGCGTTAATATAATTACCTATATTCCACCATGGTATGTATTAAGGGCTTTTCTTTATTTCAATTCTTTAATAATTCTTCCTCCATGTAATTTTTAATTTCTTCATTTCAATTTGGTTCTTTTTCTTTGACTTTGTTCATTACTAACTCGGAAATTTTTAATTTTCAATCATTAAGCAAGTTCTCGTTCTTTTTCATGTTAATAAATCCATAAGTAAAAATGTAAGGGGGAGTGGTTAACTTTTTCTTGGTCTTGTCATAAAAAAGCACTACTAAAAAGAATCCTCCTTGCGACATTTTCTCTCGTAAAATTAGGTTATTGCTTAATTCCTCAGCAGGAAGTAGCCGACCATTAAGGACATAATTGGGTTGAGCAGGTAATTTCTTTTTACTCAAAAAAAATTCTTTTCCTTTGGCCTCTACTACTTCCCCATTACTACAAACAAAAATATTTTTTTCTGGTATACCTAGTTCTTGGGCTAAATGACCATGCTTTTTTAGCATACGAAAATCACCATGGAACGGCATAAAATAATGAGGCTTGACAAGAGTAAGCATTAGTTTTAAATCTTCTTGACAAGCATGGCCAGAAGCGTGAAGTAGGTCTTCCTTGTTGTTTTCATAGATTTTAGCCCCTAAGGAAAATAATTTATTGCTCACTATTTCCACATTTAGTTTATTATCCATAATGGGTGAAGAAGTTAAAATAATTGAATCTCCGGCGGCTACTTTTCAATCAGGATAATTTTGGTGAGCCAATCGGCTAAGCACAGCTTTTTCTTCTCCTTGGGAACCGGTACAAAAGATAATTAACTTATTATTTGGAGTTTTAGCAATGTCCTTTGCTTCCAAAAAGACTGATTTATCTATTTTTCATAAACTCGCTTTTTGAATGGCTTTCATCATTTTTAATAATGAAGACCCAAGCAGAACAATTTTTTTGTCGGTTCTTTTGGCAATTTCAATAACTTTTTTGAGACGATAAACATTAGAGGCAAAGGAAGTAATAATTACTCGCCCAGTTGCCTCAGTAATAATGTTTTCCAAGCGCTTAACTATTTTGGATTCGGAAGGAGTGGTACCTTCTACTTCGGAATTAGTTGAATCACTAAGAAGCAAGTCTACTCCTTTTTTTCCTCATTCAGCCAATTTAATTAAGTCAAACTTTTCCCCAATTTCAGTTCAGTCAAATTTAAAATCACCAGTAATGGCTATTCGAATATTATCTCGTATAATTTCTATTATCAAGCCAAAAGAGCCTGGAATGGAGTGGGTTACTCGAAAAAAACTAACGCGGAATTCGCCAGTGCGAATCACACTTTCATCGTGAAAAATTGTCGCCTTTTCTTTGCTTTCCCCGCGTAATTTTTGTTTTAAAAGAGAAATTGAAAACTCAGAGCCATAAATAGGAATATTAGGAATTAATTGTAATAAATAAGGAATGCCACCAATGTGGTCTTCGTGGCCGTGAGTAATAAATAAGCCTTTAATTCTTTTTTTGTTGGCTATGAGGTAAGAAAAATTAGGAACCGTGCCGTCAGCGAGGTTACTACCGTTGAGAAACTTAATTCCGCAGTCGACAATAATTATATCCTCGTTTTTTTCTAAAACATAGCAGTTTTTTCCCACTTCATGTAAGCCACCGAGGGCAAAGATTTTTAAATTACTATTCATATTTATTTATCTTTTTTCTTTTTAACAAAAATGACAAAACTTAACACCACCATCAAGAAAAGAGATATAAATATTCCTGTTATCCATGAAAAATTGCTTTTTTGACTAATATTAGATGAAAAATTTTTAGTTTTTTTATTATCAATACTTTGGTTTTCGGGATTTTTTTTTGAACTTAAATCTTGCTGACTTTCCTTAAAATTTCAGCCATAACTGGGGAACTCCCCGAGCATTTTTGAAATTTCTTTAGTACTCATTTCTCTTCACTCGCCATCGCGAGGAGGCTGGTTTTTTTCTTTCCATCATTCTTCTTTGCTCATGTTTTGTAATTCGATTTCTTTTTGCTTAATTTTTTCCATGGTATTTACATTGGCAATTGCTTCACTAAATCATGGCTCCTTGCCTCAACTAGTATTTTGAAGAATAAACATGCGAAGTTCAAGAAACTTTGTTATATAGAATTTAATTTCTTCCTTATATTTGGCAGTTTCTATTGTTTCTCGTCAGTTTTTTCAATAATTAGCAGATAGGTAATTTTTTCAATAAATATGTTCCAAACTTTCGTCTCATTTTTCATCTTCTTCAAGGAGCCAAATTGCTCTTTCTTTAAATTTCTTGTCAGCCACTTCATCTTCGGGATATTCGCGACAAAAGATGCCGAAAATTTCAAACTCGTACTCTTTTCTTTTTCGGGGGTCTTTCAAAGTATTATAAGCCTCCGTAATTTTTTCTCTTAATTCTTCGATATTTTCTATTTTCCCCTCATAATAATTAAGAGTTTGAATTTGGTAAAATGAGTTAATTTCCGCTAGGTCATTGCGATTAAGCATGGAAAGACAGTTTTGATAAGCAACCTCAAGATATTTGGAACAATATTCTTCTCGGGTAAGTTTGCTGCCATTCATTTCATTTTGGTTGAAACCTAAAAGGCTGTATCAATCCATTCCTTTATAATAAAAGTCATTATTATTGTAAGAAGCCATAATTAATAGTTTTAGAAATTTTTGGCGTGCTTAGGAGGAATCGAACCTCCGACCATTTGAACCGCAATCAAATATTCTATCCACTGAACTATAAGCACTCCATAATTAGTTTTAGTAAAAAAACTTGTAAAACTTTTTAATATATATGTCTTATGACTTGATTATTGTCGGGGCTGGACCGGCTGGATTGACAGCGGCCATTTATGCTCGAAGAGCCCTCTTAAAATGTCTAATCTTAGAAAAATCCTTAGCCGGAGGAAAGTTAAATAAAACGGCTGATGTTGATAATTACCCTGGCTTTACCACCATTAAAGGACCTGAATTAGCGGAAAAAATGATGGAACACACCAAGCATTATGAAATCGAGTGAAGACAAGAAGAAGTATTAAAATTAGAAAAAAGTGAAAAGAGATTTGTTATTAAAACAAATGAAGGAAATAGTTTTATTAGCAAAGCGGTTATTATTGCTTCAGGGGCAATTGAAAAGGAATTAGGAATTAAAGGTGAAAGAGAATTTACTAATCAGGGCGTTTCTTATTGTGCTATTTGCGATGGATTTCTTTTTCGGGAGAAAGAAGTAGTAGTAGTTGGAGGCGGTTACTCAGCCTTGGAAACTGCTCTCTATATGAGTAATGTTGTCAGTCACGTTTATCTTATTCACCGACGCACTGAATTCCGAGCCGAGAAAGAAATAGTGGAAAAAGCCCAAAGTAATCCGAAAATAACCTTTCTTTTGAACTCTATTCTCACTGAAATTCAAGGGGGAGAAGCGGTGGAAAAAGTCATTATTAGTAATTTAGCAGATAATAAAAAAAGTGAATTATTGGTTAATGCTGTCTTTCCTTGTATTGGGCTCTCGCCATTTAGCAGTTTTACTCATGAATTAGGTGTTTGTGATAAAGAAAAGTATATCGCGATTAAAGACGACTGTTCGACGACTGTTCCTGGCTTATTTGCGGCTGGTGATGTAGCACGAATAAGTCAAAATAAAATTAAGCAAATTGTGACCGCCGTGGCCGAAGGTGCTATTGCTGCTCAGTCAGTAATTAAATATTTAGAAAAATTATAGTTTTTTACTTCTTAATCTTTTTTAACTTTGTGCTGTTATTCATTTTTCTTCGCTTAACAATTGAGATTGTGTTTTCCTAAATGTAATATTTTGGCAAATTCTTACTTTTCTTTGCTTATCAAATCTAATACTTTGTTGATATATTTGTATTTGTCTTCTTCTAAATAGGCTTTACTGAAACTAATGGCTTGGCTGATTATCATTTTGTCCAAATCATTATTTTTTCCAAAAAATAACTCATAAGTAGCATAAGTTAATATTGCTCTTTCCAAAGGAGGTAAATGAGAAAATTCCCAGCCAGTTTTTAACTTTTTAGTAATTTTTTCACTCAGATATTTTTCTTTTTCTAAACATTGATTAAGCCAAATAATTCTTTCCTTCTCACTTTCTTTTTCTGTTTTTTGAACTTTCCCTAGTAGATAATAACTGTAAAGGAGAAAAATCTTTCTTTTGTCAAGACGGAACATATTATTTTCAACTGAACATTATTTTAGTGATTCTTGTTCAATCTGAATCAGAACGAACAAAAGGAAAATTAAGAATAAAAGTTAATCAAAAAGCAATTTTAACGGCATAATGATAACAAAAATGACCAATTATATTTTCTTGTCATTTCCTATTTTTCTTTAATAATCAATAAATTAAACCAAGAAAAATAAATTGTGTAATAACGCCCATGGCTAAAATAACTATTTCTTGGTTTACACTTCCCATCTCGGTGTATGTATAGCCGTCAACAGGAAAAATCCGAAAAGTCATTTTGGTATAATTCCCTCCACCAACACTAAACAATTTTCAGCCAGCCCCAACGCTTACTTTATCGGCTACAATGCCAAAACTACGAGCAGTTAAAGCATGTCCGCATTCGTGAATAAAAATATTGAGAAAACTCCATAAATAAGCAAAAAGGATTATTCAAATGATATCTTTTCAACTATAACTTCACTGATCGGTTTTTTTTCCAATGCAATAGCAAAGAGCAGGAACCAAAATAAAAGAAACAACTACTATGACCTTTTCGGCTGTCTCCATTACTTCTTATTTAGAAAGTGGTAAAACTGACACAAAGGTTCTTTTCTTACCTCGTCTTCATTGACAATAATACTTCACTATCCCATCGCACTCGGCATGAATAGTATAATCTTTGCCAAAAAACACGCCCTTGCCACCTTTATATTTAGTTCCTCTTTGCCGAACAATAATACTTCCTTTTCGAACATATTCATTTCCAAACTCTTTTACTCCTAATCGTTTAGAAATTGAATCATGACTGCGATTGGTGGAAGCGGAACCACCACCCTTTTTTTGGGCGAAAAATTGTAAATCTAATTGAAATGTTAACATAATTATTTTTTTTCTTTCTGATTCCTAAGACGATAAACAATTCAGCCTAATCCTAAGGTGCCTATAATTATTCCTCCACCAATTAAATAAGGAACATAACTAGGTTTTGGCTGGTTTTTTTCAGGAGTGTTTTTGTGAGAATGAGAATTATTTTTCAACTTTTCTAATTTTTGCTGGTCTAAATTTTTTTCGTCAACATATCTTAAACAATTCAAGATCATGCCAATTTTTTGATTTTCATTATTTAATATTTCATTTTTGCCGTCATTATAGGTAACGAGTAAACTTCAAGTAGGATCCATTACTTGGATAGATTTAATATTTCGGCTTTTAAATCATTCAATAAGAGTACTAATATTCACATCTTTGGCAGTTTTATTCTTATCCTCGTTTTCTCATTCCTTTTCTCATATGTTTCCTAAGTTTTTGGGAGATTGAGGGCTGTCGCTGACATTGCTGTTGACATCATTTTTATTTCACTTCTCAATTTCAAAAAAATCTCCTTTTTCAAATCTTCGTTTATCTTTTTCAACTTCTTTCCAAGAAATTTTGTATCAGTAATCTTTATCTCCTTTGTTCGGTCCGCTCTTACGAATTGCTGTTCTTTGTCAAAGACTAATGTTTTGAGAATTAACCTCAAATTTTTCTCCTTCTGATGAAACAAACATAAACCAAAAAAGGTCTCAATTGCTAGAGTCTTTTTGGTCATAGTCTAAACTCTCAAGTTTAACCAGGTGGGAAACTCGACTTTCATTTTCTTGGCACGGAACAACTGAAATTGGGTCAACTAATTTAATACTTTTTTCATAAAAATAAGTATCGGTATAAGCATGATACTTAGTTTCAGTTGGCATTTCAAAACCATTAATTAAATAAAAGTGGTTAACTTTGTTATCGTTTGATTCTTGGCCAGCAAACGGAATATTGGTCAAGTCAGAATGAGTCACTGGAATATTGAGCAAAAAATTTTTTCCGTCTTTTCGGCCTTCAAATAGGCGATACATTCCTTTCCCTGGTTTTCCAGAAGTCCCCTTACAAATGTAAAAAAATAGGTTAGGATTGGTGGATAATTTTTCCTCTTTTTTTTGTTTTCTTCTTTGATTTTCTGCTTCTCTTAAATTATTTACTTGCTGAATTAAACTAATTATTTCGTCGAAATCTTTTTGACCAATATTAGAGGCCGTAAGTTCTCCCTCGTTAAAACCTTTCGGTTGATTAGCCTCTGGAAATAATTGGTCGGCCATTTCCCTCAACTTGTTCGAGAGAATCCAAATGCCTGTGTTGCCACTAACTCCTCAGGCGACTTTCGAAACACCACAAATTGGGGCGTGATTGCCAATGGGAATGTTTTCAATTTCGGAGATTTCTTTTTTTAGTTCAGTTTTGATTAAATCAACCAGAGTTTTTTTTTGATTAATTGACATGACGTTATTAATATTTACTATTTTTTTTGTTTTTAATTTTATTAACTATTATTATATAATATATTTATAGATTTTTATCACTTCTGTCGTGATAAATTATATAACTTTCCTTAAAATAATTAGTCCCCTTTTTGGTCCTGGAACTGCCCCGCGAAGGAAAATAATCTGATTTTCTTTGTCAATTTTTTCGATTATTGAATTTTGGCTAACTCTTTCATTCCCCATCCGACCAGGCATTTTTTTACCCTTAGGTACACCTTGATTAGTACCACGACCACCGCCCATAGAACCGATTAAGCGATGCGGATAACCACCACCATGGGACATGGCTCCCAACGCATATCCATATTTTTTAATTACTCCAGCAGTGCCTTTACCCTTAGAAGTGCCAGTAATTTTAACTTTGTCTCCTTCTTGAAAAAGTGCTAAATCGATTTGAGAGCCAACCTCTAATCCAGTCATATCCCTTATTTCCCGCAAGTGTTTTTTTGATGAAACATTATTTTTTTTTAAATGACCTACTAAGGGCTTATTAAGAACTTTTTCCGAGCAATGCCCAAAAGCGATTTGACAAGAATTATAACCTTCTTTTTCTTCCGTTTTTACTTGGGAGACTACATTATTACTAACTATTATTGGAGTAACTGGGATTAATAATCCTTCCCTCGAAGAAAATATTTGAGTCATTTGTGACTTGTTGCCTAATATGCCAACTGCTTTCATATATATTAATTATTTTTTGTTATTTATTCTCTTCAAGCCCTCACATTAATTAAAGAAATAGGTTAAATGCGAGTTTATAGTGTTAGAAATTATTTAAAACTTATTATAAAGGTTAAATGGAAAAAAAGGAATTACGAAAGTTAGCCCAAAAAGTTCAGTTAGAAATAAAGGAGGAGGAATTATCAACTTATTTAGATATTTTTGAGCATTTGGAGAAGTTATTGACCGATTTTAAAAAAGTTCAGGTAGGAAAGAAAACAAAATCCATGAAAAGAATTGAGGTTGGTTATTTAACCTTGCGGGATTTAGAAAAATTAAAAGGAAAATTTTCCCAGTCTAGAATTAGTAAAAAAGATCAAACAAAAAACTCACTAAACACCGCCGATGGTTTTGTGTTATTTAAAAAATAATTTTTAATTTTGTTCAGCATTTACACAGTTTATTAGGCACACTTTTTATCTTCTGACAAGCAGAATAAGCATTCTTTATATTTATCTTTTTTGGTGGATCTTGAAGGACTTGAACCTTCAACCACCCGGTTATGAGCCGGGAGCTCTAACCAATTGAGCTAAAGATCCTTTTATTAATAATTTTTAGTTTAAATATTTGATATGGACGGCATACTTCTTATTGACAAACCGTCAGGAATCACTTCTCATAAAGTCGTTGAAATTATTCGAAGAAAACTAAACCTAAAAAAAGTAGGTCATGCGGGAACATTGGATCCCTTGGCCACTGGATTATTAGTAATTATGTTGGGTAAAGCCACCAAATTAAGCAACCAGTTAGTTAGTCAATCCAAATCCTATGAAGTAGAAATGAAATTGTTTTTAGAGACGGATACTGGTGATATTACTGGAAAAATAATTAAGAGTGAAAAAACACGGATATTTGCAGAAAATCAGATTCAAGAAGTTTTTAATTTTTTTAACGATTATGAGTACTGGCAAAAACCGCCAATTTATTCAGCAATAAAAATAGGGGGAAGAAAATTATATCAATATGCCCGCCAAGGAATCTCAATAGAAGTTTCTCCTCGCTTAGTAAAGATAGAGAAGATAAAGTCATTAAATTATTTACCTGAAGAAGCAAAAATAAACTTTTGAGTAGAATGTAGCAAAGGCACTTATATTCGCAGTTTAGTAAAAGATATAGCGGAAAAATTGAAAACGATAGCGACAGTAAGCCAACTAAGAAGAATTAGTTCCGGAAAATTTCATGTTAATCAGGCAATAAAGTTAGAGGAGATAGAAAGAGGAAAATTAAATTTACTTTTTTGATAATTTTTTCTCTTTTTTAACTTTAACTTTGCTATCTTTTTGTTCTTTTTCTGCTTCTTTTCTCAGCATCACGCTTAATTCTTCAGCCTCCATTAAGGCCGCTTCAGAATTCAAAATAATAAATTCAGCTTTTAATCTCATTTTAGTTAATTGGTCTAGAGGAAAAGAGGGACCTGTATTACATGTCTTGCAGGGTCATTCATGATATAAGCAGCCGATACAAAAATCAAAATAGTATCTTACAAGTGGTGTTTCAGTTTTACAATTACATAGTTCACATATTTTTCATGCCTTTCTTAAGTTCATATATTTAACAATTTTAAATAAATATCTTTTAAAATTATTTATACCATAATGTAATAATTAGAATTATGAACAAAATTGAATTGACTGAAGAGCAAAAAAAATGTGTAGAGCATCCCTTAAACGGACAGGTTTTGCTGATTGATGCTGACCCTGGCACGGGAAAAACCGAAATCTTGCGGCATCGAGTAAAGTTCATTCATCAACAAAACAAAAAGGAGAGAAAGTTCATTTTAGTGCTAGCGGTAGGAAGAAATATTAGTCGGTCCATTAAAAAGAAATTAAAAGAAGAAGGATTAAACAAAATCCATCACCGCCTAAAATCAGTTCTACCTGAATTTTTTCATAAGCCGCAATGCGAGGAGATTGATGATTGTCTAGAATGCTTGGAAAAAAGAAGTCCTATTATTCTTACTTGCACCGTTCATTCAATTGCTTACTGAATGGTTAAACAGGTATTTACCAAACAATTGGAAGAAAAAAAGAAGATTCAAATTCTTACTAATGGCTATAAGAAAGAATTAAGTATGCTTTATATACGAGAAGATGTTCCTAAAATTAAAGAAAAAATTCACTGAACTACCCAAGAAATTATTACTCGCAAGCGGAAATTATTCAATTATTTAATTAATCAGATTAGCAGTGAAAAGTTAACCAAAGAAGAAAAAAGAACACTATGAACCATTTTTCGAGAAGAAATTGAAATTGAACATGAGAGTGAACCATATCACTATTGAAGTATTAATAATTATTCTCAATTTTTAGACCGCACTAAAAAACTTTGAGAAGAAAGCAAATTAACTCTTTATCAAGAATTAGTAGTTATTTGCCAAGAAAATCAAAATAAAAATATTTGGTTGAGTTTTAATGACATTATTGAAAATGTACTACTTTTTGCCAAAAAATCAAATCAGCCAATTAACTGGCCGAGTTTTGACTATGTTTTAGTAGATGAATGTCAAGACTTATAACTTAAACTATTAATTTTAATTACTCAAATATTTGGTCATGCGGAAACTAATTTTACCTTTGTGGGTGACCCTAAACAAAATATTATGGCTTTTGCTGGAGCCACTGAGGATATTTTTCAATTACTAAAAGAACAATTTATAGATTGTGCACAAATGGAAATCTCGATTAGTTTTCGGGTGCCGGAGGAAATTGCCGCGGTAGCGAATGACTTTACACGAAAGTTTATGCCACAAAAGCCCAAGTTGACTACTAATCAAACTAACGGTGGGAGAAAGCCAGTAGTTTTTTTGGCTAATGTTGAAAATAATTATCAATTGTCCCCTGACGAAGAAGTAAAAATAAAAGAAAAGACTCAGCAAATAATCGAAGAAGAGAATCAATCTGAGCAACAAAAAGCCCGTAAACTTTCTAAATTGGAGAAAAAGTTAACAGCGGAAGAAATCAGTTCTAAAAAACTTGAAAACCAAATTAGGTTTATCCTACAAAAAATTAGCAACTTAGACAAATCAGCCACGCGGGTTATTCTTTACCGCAAAAATGAAATTGGCAAATGATTAAAAAATTGGTTTATTGAGACTAATTATCATGACTTTGTGATGGTTGGAGATAACCAAAACAAAGTAATTCATTATATCATCAATAAAATTCAGAAAGAACTAAAAGACAAACCTCTTTTACTTAATAAATTTTACTCTATCAAGGATTTTTTAAGTGGTTTGGGAATAAATTGGCGCAATATTCCTCGCTTTCAGCAAATAATTGAACAGTTTGACCAAGCAAGAATTTTGGACGAAGAGAGATTTAGAGAAAGCCTAACTGTTGAGGAGGTTAATGAATTTATTCGCCAAATTGATATTCAATTGACTGAAAAAGATATCGAAAATACTGGCAAAACTGTGCTTTCAACTATCCACAAAGCCAAAGGATTAGAATTTGACTACGTTTTTGTGATTGCGGTGGACGATGGAATATTACCCGGCGAAACTAAAAGGCAAGAAAGTTATTGAGTTAGAGAGGAAGTAAATTTGTTCTATACTGCTATCACTCGGGCCACGAAAGAACTTTGCTTGACTGCCAGTTGCCAAGCAGATTGTTCCCGCTTTATTAAATGTTTAGATCCGAATTTGATTGAATTACAGCCTAGTGGTCTATGACCAACAAACTTCAACCCAAAACTAAGTTCGCATTTAATTCTGGCTGGCTCTATCGCCGAAATAGTCGGAGAAAGGGGTGAAGAAGAAGTATACCAACTTTTGTTGAATAATAAAAAAATTAAGTTTAAAAAATTAATTAAAAATTGACAGGAAATAGAAGACTTACAAATTGATATTTATGGAGAAACTGCCGAGGACGTTTATTTTATTGAGGTGAAAAACTGAAGTGAGAATTTTTACCATTCGGCTCGTGTCGCTAATGCTACTGAAAAAGAAATGTTAAAACAGCAACTTCATCGACAAACCAAAATTCAAGAAAATTTTTATTCTGATAAAAAATTTACTTATTTAATTACTTTTCCTAATGGGGAATTAGCCAATGATGCCAAAATTTTTTTAGAAAAGCAAGGATTTAATAAGTTAGTAGTAACCCATCATGACAAAATTCATTCCAAAACTTGGCAAGCAGAATACAATATTAAGAGGATTGATGAATGGATTGCCGAAAAGGAAAAAACTAAAAATAAAAATTGAAGAAGTAAATTATATTAATCTAGCAAGACTCATGAAAATTAAAGAAAATATTATTAACAAAGATGCCTTGATAGCCCGAATAAAAAAGGATGTTGCGGAAGATAAGAGGTTGGTAGGAAAAATTGTATCCCAAGTAAAGTCAGCCAAAAAAAATCCCCAAACTCGATTAAACATCGAGGAAAAACAATTACGAGCTCACTTGCATGAGGAGATAAAAAAGTGAGAAGAAAGAAAGGTTCAAAAAATAATTAACAAATTTTTAGAGGAAATAAAAGTTAGTTTGCGAAAAAAAGAAGATATTATTCTCTGGGGACATTTCAGTTTGAAAGTTCATCGTTCCTTGCCGAGAAAAGCCCGTAATCCCCAAACTGGTAAGGAAATGATGGTTAAAGCAAAAAATAGAATAAGTTTTTGGGCTAGTCCTAAATTAAAAAGGGAAATAAATTAAACCAGTTTGGTAAAAATAACAATGATTTTTCCATTTTCCCTAGCAAAAGATTTCTTAAAACACTTAAAATTTACTTATAATGGCGTAAGGGTCCATAGCTCATTTGGTAGAGCATCTGTTTTGCACACAGAAGGCGGTCGGTTCGAAACCGGCTGGATCCACCAATGTTAATCATAAATTTGCTAAAAATGTTATTTTAGTCTTTTTTAGCAATAGATTTATCAAAGCTTATGGATGCAAAAAAAAAAAAAAAAAACTATTTTTAATAATTAGCGGAATAATTGTCTTAATCTTGTTAATAGGTGGGGCTTTTCTGGCAGGAAAAAAATTTAGTGAAAAAAAAGAGGCAAATCAGGTTAAAACTGAACAAAAAACTGAGTTAGAAAAACAATTACAACAGTTAAAAAGTCAGTTGCAAAGGGAAACTAATCCAGCCAATAAACAAGAACTAGAAAACAAAATAAATGAAACAAACCAACAAATTAAGAACTTAGGAGGTTCAACTACCCCTCCAACTCCTAATCAAAATCCACCACCTAAAAATCCGTTTAAAACAAGTCGACAACTCACGGTAAAGTGTAATGGTGCATCAGGAGGAAAATGTGAATATATTAACATTGCCAATTCCCAAGAGCGAGTTTTAATTGACACCAAAAACAAGATTTTTTATTCTGATGATGCCCTGTATATAAAAGGCAATCAATATGTTATTACTTTCAATGAAGAAGACGCGCAAAAAAAAGGAAACAATTTCATTTTTGATGAAAACAACAATAAAATTAAACTTACCCTTGCTACACCTATCCCTAAACCAGTCCCTAGCCAAATAGAAATTGAAGTTAAATGAGGTGGTGGTTCGGGAAGGAAAAATTATTGATTATTATTGAGTGCGGATTGGCCCAAAACGAAAAAATGATTTTTCATTTCCAAAAAAAATCCAGCCGTGAAGGGGAAAAAATTCGACCGCCAAATTACTCCTAAACTTAAACTCACTTTCGAGGATAAAAATGCTTCACAAAAATTAGCTGATAACCAATGACTTTTCAATGAAAACAACGACAAATTTACTTTAATTCCCTTAGGCAATTGACCGGACGACCCGAATTATGAGATAGAAAAAGAAACACCTAAAACCATCAAAGAATTAGCAATTGGAGGCTCTACGGCAGACTATTTGTTTTTTAATAATATATTTAAAAAACCTTTTATTAGCGAAATGGAAGAAATTGCTATACATAAAGACCACCCAGAAATAAAAAGATTAAATTCTGTTTTAAAAGAAGAATATCTTAGATATGGGCAAGATAAGAAAATTTGAATTATTTCTTTTCAGGAAGCAGATGAATACAAAAATGGTGTAATTTACATAAATCAGGAAAATGATTCATTAGAAATTAAAGAAAAAAAATAAAATTAAGTCAAAAAGAAGCGAAAAATTTATTAATATGGGTTATTCGCATCAAGAAATTGAAAAAAAATGGCAAGAATTTTGAGCCAAAAATCAGACTTTTTTTACCAATTTAGCAGACAAGTCCAAGCCAAAAAAGTATATTTTAGCCATGTTTCCTTATCCTTCGGGCAGTGGCTTACATGTTGGGCACATTAGGAATTACACCATTGCCGACGCTTTGGCTCGTTTTTATCGCTTTAAAGGCTATAATGTGCTAATGCCGATTGGCTGAGATGCTTTTGGCTTGCCTGCTGAACAATATGCTATTCAAACTGGTAATCATCCGGCTACTTTTACTAATACTAATATCCAAAAGTTTAAAGAACAATTATTAAAAATAGGTTTTTCTTATGATTGAAGTAAGGAAGTAAACACTAGCACCCCTGAATATTATCATTGAACTCAGTGGATTTTTTGTCAAATATACCAACAAGGATTAGCCGAGTACAAAGAAATTCCGGTTTATTGGTGCGAAAAATTAGGGACAGTGTTGGCTAATGAGGAAATAAAAAATATTGATGGCAAAAAAGTTTCTGAGAGAGGAAATTACCTCGTAGTAGAAAAAAAAGTTCCTCAATGAGTTTTAAAAATTACTCAATATGCCCCCGAACTTTTGGCTGGACTAGAAAAATTGGACTGACCCAACAGTATTAAAAGTTTACAAAAAAATTGGATTGGATTGCAAAAAGGAACTTTTATTAATTTTCTCACAGAGGATAAGAATTTGTCTATTACTGTTTTCACCAAAAGCCCCCAAACTCTTTATGGAGTGACCGCCCTTGCCTTATCTGCCAACCACCCCTTTATTATTCAAATTACTTCTCCTGATAGGCAAAAAAAAATAAATGAGTTTTGTGCTACTTGAAAAGATAAAGAAAGTAAAGAAATAGAGGCAGAGTTTATGGGAAATTATTGTCAGCACCCTCTAACTAATGAAAAACTACCAATCTGAATAACTAATTTTGTCATAGCCGAATACGGGACAGGTGCGGTAATGATTAATGCTTTTTCACCTGAGATATTTGAATATCAAGAAATATCTGGTTTAGTTAGTGAAAAAGAACTAAAACAAAACAAACGAATTGATTATGCTTTTGCTCTAAAATACCAACTGCCAATAAAGAAAATTTTTCAGATAAACAATCACAAAGAAAAAAACATAAGCGGTCATTTTATTAATTCTCCCTTAATTAATGGTCTGAATAATAAGAACCAAGCAATTGAAATTATTAATAAACATTTAGAAAAAGAAAAAAAAGGGAAAGTAGGAGAATTTTATCATTTAAAAGACTGAATTTTCTCTCGTCAACGCTATTGAGGTGAGCCTATTCCAGTTATCCATTGAGACAACAATCAAAAAGAACTTTTGTCCGAAAAAGATTTGCCCTTAACTCTCCCTCTCTTAGCCGATTTTGCTCCCAACTATCGCTATTATTCTCCTTTACAAAAAGCCGAAGATTGAGTTAATGTCAAAAACAAAAATGGCTTAAAAGGAAAAAGAGACGTTAATGTTATGCCTCAGTGAGCGGGATCTTGCTGGTATTATATCGCTTTTTTGTTGAGAAAAAATAATAGTTATTTAGCCCTTAACAGCACCGAAGCCCAAGAAATTATAAAGAACTGATTGCCAGTTGATATTTATATTGGAGGGCAAGAGCACGCTAATTTACATTTATTGTATGCTCGTTTTTGACATAAAATTCTCTATAAAATTGGCATAGTTTCTCACCCTGAACCTTTTCAAAAATTAATTTGTCAGGGCATGATTTTAGGAGACGATGGCGAAAAAATGTCAAAGTCACGAGGCAACATTATTAATCCTAATGAATTGGTTGAAAAATATGGGGCTGACGCTTTACGGCTCTATGAAGTTTTTTTAGGTCCTCCTGAGCAAACAGCCAATTTTGATGTTAACGGCGTGTGAGCCATGAAAAAATGATTAGATCGAATTTATAATTTTTTTGTTCTTCACCGCGAAGCCATACTTACTAACACCCAAAACAAAGAAATAGAAACTGCTTGCCATGAAATGATTATAAAGGTGAATACTTACTATGAAAGTATTAAATTGAATTTGGTTGTTTCTTCCCTCATGGAGTTTATTAACAAGTGCTACAAGACCCAAACAAAAGTCATGCCGACCGAATGTTTTTTAAACTTCCTCAAATTGTTAAACCCACTCGCGCCCCATATTGCTGAAGAAATGTGAAGTTATTTTGAGGAAAAACCTATTAGTGAAAGCAGTTGACCCTACACCGAAAAGTTATCAATAACTACTCCTCAAAAAGTAAACATTGTAATCCAAATTAATGGACAAAAGGAAGCAGTAATTTCAGCAAAAAAAGACGCAAGTCAGCAAGAAATAGAAGAATTAGCCAAAAATGACCCACAAATAAGTAAACTATTAGCCGGGCAAACAATCAGCAAAATAATTTTTATAAAGAATAAATTAATTAACTTTGTTATTTAGTTAAGTTAAAAAATCATGTCAAAATCTTTAAGAAAAGTACTTTTTTGGGCTATTTTAATAGCGTTAATACTTGGTGCTATTTTGTTTATTAATCGACAAATAGGGAATAATGAGAAAAAAAGCGAAAAGTCGGAAAACAAATCCAACCAAAAAGTTCCCCAACCGCCCAATGATAAGCCAAAAGATAATCCTAAATCACCAACCGATACTGAAAATTGGTGATTAACTGACGAGGAAATTGAGTACGCTTACCAAGAAATTAGGAAAGAAAACGAAAATTTGCCTGAAATTCAATTAGTTAGCCCCGCCATAACCCGTTATATCCAAGAAGGTGGCGAAATTAGCGAGGAATTGAAAAAAGCGAAAATAATTTTCTTTCCCGTCAATAATTCAGAAAGCCACGAGACAGCAGACACCGGAAGTCATTGGACTTTGTTGGTTTGTGATAATAGAGGCATTGTTGGTGCTTTTGCTCATTATAATTCGGCTGGTTCTAATATTCCGGCTAATGCTCAAAAGTTAGCGGAAAAACTTTGCTAGAGATTAGAGGTAGACAAAAAATACTTGCCTCCTAAAATTTATAATGACCATGAATGTCCACAACAAACTAAAGGCGCCGACTGTGGAGTTTATGTAATTGCTTATACCCGTTTTTTAGTTAATGAATGGAAGAAGAAAAAAGGTCCCGGAAAATCAAGTTTCAAAGAACAAGATTTAATTTTCACCATTGCCGAAGAAAGACAAAAATTAAAAGCGGTTGGTTTTCCAAAAAAAGGCACACCAGGAAAAGATTATGAGATTGGAGATGATGTGGCTTATACCGAGGAGGAGGAAAATCGTATTTTAGAGTGATATTCCACTTCTGACACACCATTAAGGACATTTGTGAAAGCAGTTTGGGCAAAGTATAACATTGAAACTGGCCAAGCCCTCGTTAATCCCAGCAATTTTAAAGAATTCAGCAAAAAAGTTCGTTTATTAAGCGGAATAAATAAGATAGAAAAAAGAAAAATTAACCCAAATCTACCGAATTAAAAAGATTTTAAAAGCGTGTAGTTTGCCATTAGAGGAATATAAAAAGACTAAATCTTTCAATGGTAAAGACAATTTTCGAGCAGACAAAATAACTTCTGAGGAAAGCCAATTTGTCAGAGAAAATATAAATAAAAAAATAGTTAAGGAGACAAACGATTTATATCGCGTTCATTTTCCGGGAAAGTAAAGAAAAAAACACTGCTGTAAATAAATATGAAATTAACCCCTCGACAAAGAAAAATACTTTTAGTTTCGGTCTTATCATTTTTTTTGGTGCTTGTTGTAGTGGTATCCACTGTTTTAATTGCCAATAAAAATCAAAATCCTTCTCCATCAGTTCCAAAAAAAAATAATCTTCCGAATGACGCTAACTTAGCAAAAACTAAAACCGAAACAATTACTCTTCTAGGGCAAAAATTAAGTTCCGACAATATTAGAAATGAGGATTTGCTTAAAGAATTAAAAGATAATAATTATTTAGCGACTGGGGAAACTAATTTAAAAGAATATATTGAGGGAGCAACTACTCTGGCTGAATTAGAAATTCGAAAAAAAAAGGTTCTAGAAATTGTTGAAAAACTCATAGGGAACCCCGCTCCTGGTCCTAGTTCTCCTTCTCCTGGTCCTAGTTCTCCTTCTCCTGGTCCTAGTTCTCCTTCTCCTGGTCCTAGT